GGGGGAGGGATGACCGGGGCAGAGTTGGGAGAGCCCGTGTCCGGGAGAAGAACGAAGTTTGTCAGCATGTGGGAGAATTGAAAGTGTTGTCTCGGTTGTCTTTCCCATTGGCTTTCTGTTGAGAGCCAGGGTCGCCAGTGAAGGCCGGTGCGGTCATCCAGGAAGCACAACCTTCCGTTTTTATCTATCCAGGTTGCTGAGAAAGTTTGAACGAGCTCCCTTTTCTTCGCCTGGTCCGGTTCATTTCGGAGTGCGGAATGCAGTTCTTTCCATGCCCCTTCAGTCCTTGCTGTGATCGTATCAATTACTGAGGTCCTGGCCTGCATGAGGCCAAATGTGTGTTGCTGTCTTTCGTGAGCACAGCGCATTCTCCATGCCGCCGTGAGCACTGTTAGTCTGGTATATGTGAAAAGGTTGATCATGAAGGGGGACCACTGTGTCGCCCCCAGCAGGGGTTCCCCCAGCAAAACTTCTGCAAAAGGGTGCCCATATTCCACGGGAGGTGTGTCTCTGTGAGGTGGTGCCAGGCAGCATCCCACCAACTCCAAAGCTGAGCCACCATGGGACAATCCAATAGGCAATGTTCCAGGGTAGCTCTTTTCTTTGGGAAAGCCTGACAGTGTGTGCAGTATGAGCATAGGGGAGACAGTTCCCTTTTCTCTTCGAGATTTGTTCTCGCAGTTAGCCAGTCCGGTGTGGGCAGGCACCTGTGTATTATTTGCCATTGCAGGGCTCTATGGTTGGTCGGGTTGATGTGAGTCTGAGTAGGTCGACCATCCGAAGTTTTGGAAGCCCGGTTTTTCTAGGGGGGAGTCTGTCTCCCATTGTTTGATGATGCTGTCCATGACGGGTATTTGCTTACGTGCCGCTCTATACCCTTTTTTGATAGTGTATTGCCATGGGGCCATTGTGCATGAGTCTCCCCATGTCCATCCCCACTCCGCGGGGTCGAATGGTAGGAGATGGAGAGGGATGGTAGGTTCATATAGGAAGAAGCCTTCCTTCTTATCTCCCACCACCCTGACTCTGACAAGGGAGGAGGCGGGTCGTTGTGTGTCTTGGTCTATTTGTCTATGCAGTTGAGACCATGTCTCTCCTGGCAGCACGGGGCTGTATGCATTGAGGCTTACGTCCCCTCCCCGGGGTTGGGTCATTGCACGTTGTACGCGATCATTGGGATATGGAGAGAGTCGAGGGGGACTACCCAATCGCCCAG